GGTCTCACTGAGTTGCTTAGCACCTTGCCATTGCTGAGGCTGGCTCTGAACTCTGGATCCTCCTGCCTCAGCCTCCTGGGATTACAGGTATGTGCCACTGCACCCGTGGACAATGGACATTTAATACACCTGGCACACAGCATCTACCTATCCATGCCTCCCCACCTGTACACACACATTTTCTCCATCCCATGTTTAGGAAGAAAAAGGACATAACTTGTGTGGAGGAACCGCTCCTGGGCTGCCCAGCACGGTACTAAGACCCTGACAGAGGATCGGTTCTGCTGAGCCCCGATGTCCCCCCTCTAGCCGGAGCGCAGGGCCCCGTGGCCTCGACAGCAACTTACTCAAGTTCATCCTCGGAGTCATAGCCCACTGGCCCGGACTCGATGGCAATGACCTCGCTCTTGGCCGGGTTCTGCTTCCAGGTGCTGTTCCCCGTGGATGAAGGCGATTCCTTTCTCTTCTTCTTCCCAAAGAACTTCTTGAAGGTTTTGAATTTAGATTTCTTCTTTCCTATACGGAGGTAAGCAAAAGTAATAATCAGCAGGAGTGTGTGTTTGTGCGCAGGTGTGCAAGGTGCCCGTGGAGCAGAGAAAGCCCGGGTTCAGGCCTGACGCTGGCCACCTGCTTCCAGAAGTCCTTCCTTTGCTTGGTGTTACAGCCTTGCACACCTGGAAACAAAACCAGTTTGTTTATTCAGAAAATTTAAGTAGATGAGGCAAGAATGCCTTGGAGCACGATCATGGAATCTTTAACCCCCAGGAGCTTCCCTCTCACACGAAATCAAGGTTTAATGTCTAAAATATTCATAAACAACAACGACGAAAGTTCTGACCAGGTGAAGGCTGTGTGATGACCCAAGGTATTTTTTTAATATCTATTTTTTTTAGTTGTAGTTGGACCCAATACCTTTATTTCATTCATTTATTTTTATGCGGTGCTGAGATCAAACGCAGGGCTCCAGGCATGCTAGGCGAGTGCTCTACCGCTGAGCCACCATCCCAGCCCCGGCCCAAGGTATTTTTTAAAAAATTATTGTAATTGTGCAAATTCATGGGGTGCAGTGTGGCTATTCAATACATGTGTAGAGTGTGTAATGACCAAATAAGGCATTAACATTTCCATCTCCTTAAACATTTTTTTTGGATGCCTATATTTTTTTTAATTTGTTCTCATTAGTTATACATGACAGTAGAATGCATCTTGACACATCATACATGAATGGAGTATAACTGCTCACTCTTCTAGTTGTACACTATGTAGAATCACACCAGTCACGTAGTCATATATGCACATAGGGTCATAATGTCCGATTCCTTCTACTAGCCTTCCCTTCACTCCCCTCTGCCTCATCCAAAATACCTCTGTTCTTCCCTAGCCTCCCCACCCCTTCATTATGTGTTAGCATCCACACATCAGAGAGAACATTTCAGCCTTTGTTTTGGGGACTGGCTGACTTCACTTAGCATGATAGTCTCCAGCTCCACCCATTTACTGACAAATGCCACCCTTTCATTGTTCTTTATGACTGAGCGATATTCCACTGTGCATATGTACCACATTTTCTTTATCCATTCATCTGTTGAAGGGCATCTAGGTTGTTTTCATAGCTTAGCTCCTGTGAATTGAGCTGCTGTAAACGTTGATGTGGCTACATTACCATAGCATGTTGATTTCAAGTCCTTTGGGTATAGACCAGGGAGTAGGATAGCTAGGTCAAATGGTGGTTCCATTCCAAGTTTTTGGAGGTTCCTTAAACATTTTTAAACATCTTCAGTTGTCATTTAATCATCATACATATTTTGGGGGTACAATGTAGTAGTTTAATACATGTACACAAAACATGCTGATAAAATCAGAATAATTTATATTTCCACATCTTTATCATTATTTTGTGTTTGGAGTTTCAAGTGTGTCTCCTCTAGACATTAATAAAGTATATAATAGATGGTTGTGAACTATAACTGCCCCCTCATTGCTATGCTGTGGAACCCTAGAACTTACTTCTTCCGTCTGTGTTTGGGTTAGCCGAAATCCAGCCTCCCTCCAGCCCTCCTCCCTGCCACCTCCCAAGGCTGGAGTCATTACTATTACTCATTTTGAATGATCTTTTTTATTTTTTAGCTTTAGCTTTCACATATGAGAGAGAACATGCAGTACCCATCTTTCTGCATCTGACTTATTTTACTTGATTGCCTCTGTAGTATCCATTTTGCTGCAAATGATAAGATATGATTCTTTTTGGATGGCCGAGTAATATGTCATTGGGTCTGACATTCCATGTCTCCTTTACTCGAGTTATTAAAAAAACATTCAGATGCTTCATCTATCCTGGACATGAACTAAGGACAATCAGACGAAGCCTGGCCTTAATGGCAAGAGGTGGCGCTCTGGAATCATGAGCGCCATGATGAGCTAATAACTCTTAGTGAGAAAAATGACCCAATGGCGGCCATTCCTATGGTGGAAGAGGCTGTGGCAGGGCCGAGTCAGATTGGGCCACACCTCCTGAATTGTTAGAATCTGCGATACTTTTTCACATTTTATGATCGCTTCTCTGAGGTCACCTTCCTTGTCACCCACATATTCTCTCATACCCAGGACCCCACGATGTCACCGCAGTAGCTCAGCGGAGTTCATTCCTCTCCTTCCAACAGAAGGAGGTGACATCAGAGGTCACCAAGATGCTGCCTCATAGGTTGTGGACACTGGTTAAAGGGATTTAGCTGAAAATCTTTGATAAATAATCTTGCAAACGGAATTCCTTTTAAAACAAGAATATTTCTGTCCTGTTAGTAATAACGCTCCTCTGGGAAGCCTGCAGGTCTGGTCTCCAGGTGGAGAATCCCTTAGGATTACTCTCACAGGGATGGAACAAGCCCCTTCCCTAAGGAAAGAAAGTTCTGCAGCAGATGTGTGATATCAACAGATGGTTCTTCATGAAGGTTCAGCATTTGGGAAGATTAGACTTTCCTGCCTTTGGTCAGGACACCTCTTGGCCTTTTCCTCGTCAACAAATTGGTACATGCCCCCAAAACCTGAACAAATGTACAGCCCCACTATGCTGACGGTCAGAGATGCCGCTTATAGAATGAATGGTGTGGATAAGAGTGTGGCTACGGAGACCCCCCCACCCCCAGTACAACTGCAAGGACAATGGTCAGCCATCTATGTGTTATCTCTTCTGCCAGCTTTCTAGGTCAGTTTTTTCAACGGCTGTCTGACTAGTCCAGGTTTCTACTTCTTGAATTTGCTTTAAGCTACATGTTTCTAGGAATTTATCCATTTTTCCCCAAATTTTCAAATCTACTAGCAAAAGAATTCTAACAATCTTGCCTGTTCCTCTGGAGTACTGTAGCATCGTCACGCCTCATGTTAATTATCTGTGCCTTCTCTTTGTTCTTTGATCAATTGCACCAGAGGTTTGTTGATTTTAATTTGCTTATAAAACATTTGGCTTTGCAGGGTGCCATGGCGCATGAAATCCTGGCGGCTTGGGAGGATCCTGAATTTAAAGCCAGCCTCAGCAAAAGCAAGGTGCTAAGCAACTCAGTGAGACCCTGTCTCTAAATAAAATACAAAATAGGGCTGGGGATGTGGCTCAGTGGACAAGTGCCCCCGAGTTCAACCCTAGTACCCGTCCCCGCAAAAAAAAGTTTGGCTTGTCAATTCTGTCTGAGGAATGTTTATTTTATATTGTATTGGTTTCTATTCTCTACCATTTCTGTAAACTTTCTTTGGGTTGATTATGCTACTTCTAAAAACTTCTTTAGATGAATAAACATTAATCTGACATTTTCTCTATTTTTACAAAACACACATTTAAGGCAGCACTTTCTTCTAAATCTGTTTCATGCACATGTTATGAAATGTAGTATTTTCATTACCGTTTAGTTAACAATGTTTTCTAATTTCCATTATGATGCCTTCTTAGACCTATGTAGGGATTATTTAGAGAAATATGTCTGCATTTCCAAGTACTTGGGGATTTTCTTTTTCTTTTGTTTCTTTTATTGTATGCACTCGGGGACTTTCTATTGTTGATTTTGAGCTTTACTGCATTGTGGTCAGATAATATCCTCTGATCTGATTCCATGCAACTTATTTTGTGCATCAACAATTTTTATAAATGTTCCTACTATACTTTCAAATAATATGTTTTCTTCCATGCCCTGTACATGTTGTCATGGCTTAGAGGTGAGGTGTCCCCCAAAAGCTCATGTGTGAGACAATTCAAGAAGTTTAGGGGACAAATGATTGGGTTCTGAAAACCTTAACCCAATCAATGAATTAATCCCCTTATAGAGATTAACTGGGTGGTAACTGTAGGCAGGTGGGGAGTGGCCGGAGGAGGTGGGTCACTGGACGTGGCTTGGGGTTTAAATGGTGTGAGCGGAGCTCAGTCACTCTCTGACTCCTGGTGCGGTGTCTTGAGCCCCTTCCGTCCACCACATCTTTCCACCATGCTGTGCCTCACCTCTAGCCCCGAGGAATGGAGTCGGCCCTCTGTGGACTGAGACCTCTGAAACCAGGAGCCCCCTGGTTTAAATGTCTCCTTCTACACATTGTTCTTGACAGGTCTTCTGGTCCCGGTAGTGGAAAGTTGACTAAAACACAGATCGATTACTACAAGGCCTTTTCCTCCTTGATTAGACCTGTACAAATACTTTGTCTTTACTAATAAAATAGTATACATATTTGTTCTATCAATTTCAGAAAGAGACGTAAAAGAAACTAACCTATGGATCGTAGATTTTCTTATCTATTTAATTATCAACTTCTACTTTATATAATTTTTTGACATTATCTTAATACATAGAAATGCAAAATCATTATTTTGCTGGGGAGTTGAAGCTTTTATAAAATGGCCCTCTTTATTTTCCAGTTAGGCTTTTTGCCATAAATGCTATTTTGACTAATATGAATATGGCTTTGCCGCCTTCTTTCTGCCCAGGGCTCACAAGGTGTATTTTTGTTCTTTCACCATCCTTAATTTTCTGAACCCTTGTACTGAAGATTCATATACTTACAGTTTTAGGAATGCACTCTGGCCGCCTTACTGAGGTGGGAAAATTCATCGGTCCGTTTGTCCTCGCAGTGATCACTGATATATCAGTCAAAATAAGTCTACCCTCTTTGGTCTGTTTTCTCAGTCTCCACTCTTGTCTTCTCTTGGATTAACTGACTGTTTGCATGGTTCCCATCACAAGTTTGGAAGCCTTGCCTTTTGTTTCTGTTCTGGCAGTGGTTACCCGGCAGAGTGGGCACGTTCTATCGCAGGACCATGCATGGACCTTAGAACACTTGGATCCCCTTTGCGACACTATTACTTCCTTGGCCTTGAGTCCTTCTTGCATCCAGGACTTCCACCAGGAAGTTCCTTCTGCCAAAGGCAGCTTCCTGCAGAATCTGCTTTCCTGGGGTCCAACGGTGGCAAACTCAGGTTTCCTTGGTTTGAAGATGCCTTTATTTCTCCTTCATTCCTGATCCCTGTCTTTCCTGGGCTCAGAGGT